TGTTATTATTTAATAATCAACCCCCAGCTCAGTCTTTAAATGCTCTTTGAGAAACAATAATAGTCTTACGTCTGGCAGGGAAGATACAAACAATTGACATTCTAGATGCCCAACTGTACTACCAGAAAGTTTAATAGCTCAATTTTGACCTCTGGTTTCCACTGGAGAACCCAGGGTCGTAACAGTCACTTACCTCCGGCTCCTGCTTTCTCGTTGTCAATCTTACTTTGTAGTTGTTGTTGACTCTCGTAGTGCCCTCATGGCTCTCGGGTCCTTTAATCCGGTTCATCCAGTGGTTGTCGAGAACCAGCATTGGCTGTTTCTTGTTTACAGTAAATTTAAGTTGGATGAGTTTTGTTGGGTTCCCAGCCATATTGGTGTGTCTTTAAATGAGCGTGCAGATGCTGCTGCCAGGGAAGCTGTCCGCTCTTGTCCCATCTCTTGTAAAGGTATTCCTTATTCCGACTTTTACCTGGTTATCCATTCCTCCATCCTTACCCGTTGGCAGGCTTGTTGGTCGTCTGTTACTGGTAACAAACTACGTACTCTTAAAAGTTGTGTGTCCTCGTGACCGTCCTTCAACCACCGTAACCGGCGATGGGTAACGGCTCTGGTGAGGTTGCGTATTGGCCATATTCTCTTAACTCATGGTCACTTGATGGAGCGCCGTCCTGCTCCTTATTGTCCTAATTGCATTGTCCCTCTTACGGTCGTGCATATCCTTGTTGAATGTCCTGACTTTCAGAACGAGCGTGTCTTGTTTTCCGACCATCTCCCGTAGTCGCTTGTCTCTCGATAGTATTCTTGGTGCCTCGGATACTTTTGATATTGTTCGCTTTATGCGTTTTTGTTCTCGTGTTGGCATCCTTGGTGATATTTAGCGCCCTCTGATTATCCCGCACATTTGATGGTGCTACATAGCCTTCCCGGTTTGGTGCCTTCTTTTGATAATTACTTACTTATATCAAACACTTCCAGCAAACAGTGGAGCCTGGTTCAGAGCCTTCTACTTCTTGAACTTAACAATTCGAGGATGGCCACAACAATTGCTCACTTTTGCCTCATCTATCTTGAAGCTGTGTAAGCAACCCGGCCTCAGACCAAGTCCATTCCATCCAGCGGTCGACCTCAAAGACGCGTTCATCAATTTCAACATGTTACCTTACCTTGTGGTTACCTTGTGTTCGGTTCAGGGCTTAGCCTCCCCGCGGCCCGGTCCTCGACCAGGCCTCTTCGTTGCTGGACTGGCCAATCAGGCTGCTGGACGCGGCTGCTCGTAGCCTGACGTATGAGTCACAGCCTGGTTGATCAGGAATCCTTTGCAGGTGTTATCATGGCTGTTCATTCAAAACATGAATTTTCTCATATATAAATTAATATCATTATATATTACCATATTCTGCATATATAGGTATAGGTTAGGTTAGGTGTTTAGGTTCTGTTGGCGATTATTTGTATTTGTAGTACGTGGGTGAAGCATTTACAGCGTTGTGATTGACATCATCATCCCTACTACACTACTCACCATCATCACTACCACACTACTCACCAACACCATCACTACCACACTACTCACCATCATCCCTACCACACTACTCACCATCATCCCTACTATACTACTCACCATCATCCCTACTATACTACTCACCATCATCACTACCACACTACTCACCAACACCAGCACTACTACACTACTCACCATCATCACTACCACACTACTCACCATCATCCCTACCACACTACTCACCATCATCACTACCACACTACTCACCATCATCCCTACTATACTACTCACCATCATCACTACCACACTACTCACCAACACCATCACTACCACACTACTCACCACCATCACTACCACACTACTCACCATCATCACTACCACACTACTCACCACCATCACTACCACACTACTCACCATCATCACTACTACACTACTCACCATCATCACTACCACACTACTCACCACCACCATCACTACCACACTACTCACCATCACCATCACTACCACACTACTCACCACCATCATCACTACCACACTACTCACCATCATCACTACCACACTACTCACCATCACTACCACACTACTCACCAACACCATCACTACCACACTACTCACCATCACTACCACACTACTCACCAACATCATCACTACCACACTACTCACCATCACTACCACACTACTCACCAACATCATCACTACCACACTACTCACCATCACTACCACACTACTCACCAACACCATCACTACTACAATACTCACCATCATCACTACTACACTACTCACCATCATCACTACCACACTACTCACCAACATCCTCACTACCACACTACTCACCAACACCATCACTACCACACTACTCACCAACATCATCACTACCACACTACTCACCAACACCATCACTACCACACTACTCACCATCACCATCACTACCACACTACTCACCAACATCACACTACCACACTACTCACCATCACCATCACTACCACACTACTCACCACCACCATCACTACCACACTACTCACCATCACCATCACTACCACACTACTCACCAACATCATCACTACCACACTACTCACCACCACCATCACTACCACACTACTCACCATCACCATCACTACCACACTACTCACCAACATCATCACTACCACACTACTCATCATCACTACCACACTACTCACCAACATCATCACTACCACACTTCTCACCAACACCATCACTACCACACTACTCACCATCATCACTACCACACTACTCACCATCACTACCCACACTACTCACCACCACCATCACTACCACACTACTCACCATCACCATCACTACCACACTACTCACCACCATCATCACTACCACACTACTCACCATCATCACTACCACACTACTCACCATCATCACACTACCACACTACTCACCATCACTACCACACTACTCACCAACACCATCACTACCACACTACTCACCATCATCATCACTACCACACTACTCACCATCATCACTACTACACTACTCACCATCATCACTACCACACTACTCACCATCATCACTACCACACTACTCACCATCATCACTACCACACTACTCACCAACACCAACACTACCACACTACTCACCAACACTACTACTACCACACTACTCACCATCACTACCACACTACTCACCAACACCATCACTACCACACTACTCACCAACACCATCACTACCACACTACTCACCATCACTACCACACTACTCACCAACACCATCACTACTACAATACTCACCATCATCACTACTACACTACTCACCATCATCACTACCACACTACTCACCAACATCCTCACTACCACACTACTCACCAACACCATCACTACCACACTACTCACCAACATCATCACTACCACACTACTCACCAACACCATCACTACCACACTACTCACCATCACCATCACTACCACACTACTCACCAACATCATCACTACCACACTACTCACCATCACCATCAATACCACACTACTCACCACCACCATCACTACCACACTACTCACCATCACCATCACTACCACACTACTCACCAACATCATCACTACCACAATACTCACCACCACCATCACTACCACACTACTCACCATCACCATCACTACCACACTACTCACCAACATCATCACTACCACACTACTCATCATCACTACCACACTACTCACCAACATCATCACTACCACACTTCTCACCAACACCATCACTACCACACTACTCACCATCATCACTACCACACTACTCACCATCACTACCACACTACTCACCACCACCATCACTACCACACTACTCACCATCACCATCACTACCACACTACTCACCACCATCATCACTACCACACTACTCACCATCATCACTACCACACTACTCACCATCATCACTACCACACTACTCACCATCACTACCACACTACTCACCAACACCATCACTACCACACTACTCACCAACATCATCACTACCACACTACTCACCATCATCACTACTACACTACTCACCATCATCACTACCACACTACTCACCATCATCACTACTACACTACTCACCATCATCACTACCACACTACTCACCAACACCAACACTACCACACTACTCACCAACACTATCACTACCACACTACTCACCATCACTACCACACTACTCACCAACATCATCACTACCACACTACTCACCAACACCATCACTACCACACTACTCACCAACACCATCACTACCACACTACTCACCAACACCATCACTACCACACTACTCACCACCACCATCACTACCACACTACTCACAAACATTTTCACTTACAAAATTACCTCACTATCTCAAAACTCACAACTTACTCTTATGTAAACTGTGTCACTCTTGACAGCATTACCACCTCAGATGAAAGCATTACCATCTCAGATGAAAGCATTACCGTCTCAGATGAAAGCATTACCATCTCAGATGAAAGCATTACCATCTCAGATGAAAGCATTACCATCTCAGATGAATGCATTACCACCTCAGATGAAAGCATTACCATCTCAGATGAAAGCATTACCATCTCAGATGAAAGCATTACCGTCTCAGATGAAAGCATTACCATCTCAGATGAAAGCATTACCATCTCAGATGAAAGCATTACCATCTCAGATGAAAGCATTACCGTCTCAGATGAAAGCATTACCGTCTCAGATGAAAGCATTACCATCTCAGATGAATGCATTACCACCTCAGATGAAAGCATTACCATCTCAGATGAAAGCATTACCATCTCAGATGAAAATCATCTTGACAGTCGCCGTCAAACTGCACTTGACAACTTGAGGACAAAGTCCTGTGTACGGTGTTCCTAAGGTAAACTTGACGGGTGATCAAAATGGTGTGAGGACCATGAACATTTTCCCTTGCCTGCCCCTCTGGCCAGCCCTGGTGATCCTCTTGACTATATTGTCTGGCATCTAGGATATTAGCACCTGCTTAACTAGCTGGCCATGTGACTAGTTAGTCTGGCAAAATGGAGCGTCTTGGGGCTCACGACGTGGCGCAGCTCCTAAGGAAGAAAATAAAAACTCTTGGCTCCGGGACTTACGGTAGAGTAGTCCTGGTTAACTGGCACGGAGAGCAGGCCGCACTTAAAGTGGCCAACCATGCATCGGCCGCTAAGAGCTTCAAGCGGGAAGCCAGCGTCTTGTCAGAGCTGAAAGGGGCTGGAGGCGCGCCCCTCCTACTGGCGGTGTCTCACGATCGCCCAGCTCTCCTCACCACTTATAAAGGGGACACGAACGTGGATAAGATTTTATGCCACCCGCAATACGACGTAGTGCAGATTGGGTTTAAAATTGGCCTAAAATTATTACATGTCCACACAAAAGGGTATGTTCATAACGACATAAAATCTAACAATATAATGATTGAAGGCTCACCCGACCACCCAAAAATTAGTGTGATCGACTTCGGCCTCTCCTGTAAGAGTGGTGAAGTGGTCCTTACAAAAGGTGACCCCGAGGACTACCCGCTCTACGCCCCCGAACTCTTGGCTGGTGAACCCAGCACCTTCTCCTCAGACGTGTTCCAATACGGCCGTCTGATGCAGGAGATCCTAGTGGTAACAGGTACCAAAGATCCGGTACTAGTGAACCTGTTCCAAGAGGCGACATTGTCCAACCAAGAGTGGCGGCCATCCCTGCCCAACCTGCTCCGCCGCCTACAGGACCACATCAGAGACGACACCACCACGGACTCCACCTTCCACCGAGACCGCAAGAGGATTGAGCGGTATGAGGCAAAGTGCGCCAAGTGGGGGACAGACAGAGACGGACTGAGGATGCCTAAGGAGCAGGTTATGAGGGACAAGGCGCGGACGGAGGACTATTTGTTCCGTATAAGGGAGTACCATGGGATCCTCGTCCTGTGAGAAGGATATCTATGATATCCTCGCCCTGTGAGAAGGAACTGGTTCAATGTCTTGTTATTAAGTTTATAACAAAAATAAAGAAATAAAAGGAATAATTTGTTAAATTAGCTGTTTGTCTATTCCATTGCACCTAAAACCTTCATTGTATATATATTTTTAAAATATTTTGCTATTAATATATGTGTATGTGTGTGTGTGTGAGTTGAGAATTGGTAAATATTGAGAGAGAGAGAGACACACACAGACAGACATCACAATAAGAGATGTGTGGGAAGTTCTCAACAAGTATTTCTGAGTATTGTTACTAGAAATTAAATAAATTGTAAGAGCGGACTGTATTAATATTGGTTACTTGTCGGGGGTTTCCACTGCCACAAAATTTGGGGGGTAGATTAATAATGCTAAGTCTACCTGTTTAAATATACATGGAAATTCAAATAGTATCAATTTTTAGTAGTTAGTAGTCTACACTACTACTGATTAGTTTACAAAAACTTCAGCTTAGCTGATCTGAAGGTTTCCTCCTGAACCAGCAAGAACACGAGAGTAATCAGGTGGGTTATGCAGTAAATGTTGACCTCGTGGCCGGGGAATTACAATGTACCAACTGCAACAGTCTACTATATTGACATTATGACATAGGAAATAATACTTGATAAAATTGTGAGAGGCTTACTGGTGTTTTTTGTTAATCATGCCTTGTAACACGGTTGGAATTCTAATGTTAAGAGCTCACAACCAAATGGATTCAACTGGGACATGTCCTTTCGTGCTTGGAGACTGCGACAGCTTGATACATGGTAATCCGTTCAACAGCACGACTCTGCTGCTCAGTTTGTAACTCTGAGGGGCACAATTCTGCAGTTTATAAACCCAACCACTTGGGCTGGACGGTAGAGCGACGGTCTCGCTTCATGCAGATCGGCGTTCAATCCCCGACCGTCCAAGTGGTTGGGGCACCATTCCATTCCCCGTCCCATCACCAAATCCTTATCCTGACCCCTTCCCAGTGCTATATAGTCGTAATGGCTTGGCGCTTTCCCTTGATAATTCCTTCCTTCCTTCCTGCAGTTTATAAGCACAAATATGGCGTCTATCGGGAGAGGACGGTGGCCCCTTCGCCTCTCACGGACACGGACGCCTCTCCGGACGGACGCTGGACGCCTTTCCGGACAGACGCCGGACGGTTTTCCGGACGGACGCCTCTCCGCGTCTCGGGTGCTCCTGAACTCCGTCGCATGGCGCGGCGTCCCCCTCCTCTCATCAGCTGGTAGTCATGGCACGAATTTTTGGCGCAAAGTTACGAATGAAAGGAGGTAAATGCTAATTTATACGTGAATTTATTCTTCTCAATTACTATGAACAGTGCTTAAACTCTACCTAATATATCAATAACAAATGAAAGCAGATTGAAGACAAAGTTTCTATCAAGTGCTAGGCAAAGGAATAGTCACCGTGAACATGTGGTGGCTGATGCAATCGTCCCTTAGCATGTTCTAGAACTTCTATTAGTACAGTTAGTTAGATTAGTATCTTAATACAACGTATTTATCTTATTGTGTCAAGGATTAGTATTTTTGGTGTCGGAAATTTCCGACAAGATGGTGGCGGACTTACTTGAGAGCGAGGGAAACCTTTTATTGTCAATCCTCCTTTCGTCACTGAATCTGATCTCGACGGACTGTCGGTTCTTAAGGTGGCGTTTGTGGAGCGTATGCTCACGATGCACCCCTGGGGGGCCCCGGCATGATCGGCGATAGGTTCTTGTTGGGTGTCCTGCCTCTAATTGTGGCTCCATGGTGGGTGTGGGGGCACATTCGTGAATGAATGTTTTTCTTTCGTACTCATGTCGAATTCTGTTCCTCTTTTACCTTCTCAGGCTCGTGGGGTGGGCGACCAAGCCCCCGAGTTGGTCCGTGTTGGAAGACCAGGCTCTGTAGCCTCCGCTGCATTGGGCCCCGACCTTGCTCCTCCTTTGGCCTTTCTGATTACTCCCCTCGGCTCTCCTCCCTCCTCTGTGGCTGGGTCGAGCCCCAAGCCCCCAATGGTGACTACCTCGTCCCCTGACACGGCTCAGTCTCTAGTTGTGACTACTGTGCCTTTTAACCCCTCTCTCTCTCTCTGGGGGTTCTCAACGCCGTCCTAGACACGGCCGCACTCGCTCGATTCCTTCCCATACTGATGCATATCAAGCCTTGTTTGGTTCCGCTTCGTGGGCCAAATATTTTGATCTTTGATATTTTGATCTTTGAGCACTTTTCTTCTCACTACCGCTCCGTTTCCTTCTTCACCGATGGGTCTAAGTCTGCGGACGGTGTAGGCTACTCTGTTGTTTTTCCTGATTGCACTTATATGTGTCGCTTACCTCCGGAGACTAGCATCTTCACAGCGGAGCTTTATGCTATTCACTATGCTCTTCGTCTCCTGCTTTCTCGTTGTCAATCTTCCTTTGTAGTTGTTGTTGACTCTCGTAGTGCCCTCATGGCTCTCGGGTCCTTTAATCCGGTTCATCCAGTAGTTGTCGAGAACCAGCATTGGCTGTTTCTTGTTCACAGTAAATTTAAGTTGGTTGAGTTTTGTTGGGTTCCCAGCCATATTGGTGTCTTTAAATGAGCGTGCAGATGCTGCTGCCAGGGAAGCTGTCCGCTCTTGTCCCATCTCTTGTAAAGGTATTCCTTATTCCGACTTTTACCCGGTTATCTATTCCTCCATCCTTACCCGTTGGCAGGGTAAGAATGGAGAATGTGCAGTGACTTAATGTCTAACATATTCAGATATATATATATATATATATATATATATATATATATATATATATATATATATATATATATATATATATATATATATATATATATATATATATATATATATATATATATATATATATATATATATTTCTCTGACCTCTCAATTAGGTCAGGAAGGCGGAATATAACTCTCAGACAGGTAGACTCATTCTTCAGGCTACGTCATAACACTTGCTTAGCTAAATGAATTGTGTGATTCAGTCCCTGAGCCCATTATGTGCCTCTGAAATCATTTCCCCTATACCGCCCACAATATTTATTTTATTTATTATTTATTTATTTATATACAAGAAGGTACATTGGGTTTGTGAGAATACATAGCATGGTACAGTAATTGCACTCTTGTACAGCCACTAGTACGCGCTGCGTTTCGGGCAGGTCCTTAATCTAACAGATAATTTTAAGTAGGTAAATTCTATCAGAATTAATAAAATGATAACAAATATATTGCAAAAAAATGAGATGAGAGAGATTAGTAAGTATATTAAAGCACATTGGTATATTAAAGCTCTGATTGATTACATTGACAGCTTGATTGGTAATTTAAACAAGATTAATAGACACCATACAGCAGATTGACAGTACATATAAGAAGACAGCAATGATCGCAATGATAAAGATGTTCAGATTGGATACATAAAGATTGGGAGATTGGGTAGCAATAGATACAGTGGTTTTAAAGCAAAAGGTAAAAAACTATGAAGATGAAAAGAACACTGTTTTTCCCAAAAATGGTGGGTTTTCTGAGTGGAAGAGAACGTATGTCTGGAAGCTGACTTTAACCGCCCCAAGCTGCGCGCGCATTGACCCGAGGTTATATAAACCGGGACGGAGACGGCGTGGCCCCTCTTCCCAAGCCAGCAGCTGCTCTTACAAAACGATTATCTTAGAAAGGATTATTCATTATAATTATTCCTTAATACTTTATTGTTATGCACTAGTCAATAATTATTTATCATTCATCCTAATTAGCTATTTGATTCATTAAAAATAATTGCTTATCATTATACTATTTGTTATTATTATTATTTATTATATAATAATAATTATTTTATTTATTAATTTATTATTTAATAATTTATATATTAATTTATTATATATTAATTTATTATATATTAATTTATTATTTACCATTATAAAATAAACAAGTCCCCAATCTGAGCACGTTTTCTTCCAACCTCAGAAAATTAGGTACTTTTTAGTATTGTTTTTGAATGATGCAAAAGTTGGACAGCTTTTCAATTCAATAGGGAGTGAGTTCCATAGATTGGGTCCCTTTATTTGCATAGAGTGTTTACACAAATTAAGTTTGACTCTGGGGATATCAAAGAGATATTTATTTCTGGTGTGGTGATAATGGGTCCTATTACATCTGTCCAGGGAGAGTTTCAGAGCAGGATTTGCATTTAAGAACAGGGTTTTGTAAATGTAGTTGACACAAGAGAATTTGTGGAGTGAGATTATGTTTAGCATGTTTAGGGAGTTAAACAAGGGGGCTGAGTGTTGTCTGAAAGCAGAATTTGTTATTATTCTGATAGCAGATTTTTGCTGGGTAATGTTGGACTTGAGGTGGTTTGCAGTGGTTGAACCCCATGCACAGATACAATAATTAAGATAGGGATAGATTAGTGCATAATATAGAGAGATGAGAGCAGAGTTAGGTACATAATATCTGATTTTGGAGAGTATACCAACTGTTTTAGAGACTTTCTTTGTTATGTGTTGTATATGGGTACTGAAGTTGAGTCTCTTGTCTAGGAATAGGCCAAGAAACTTTCCATCATTTTTATTGCTAATGTTTACATTGTCTATCTGAAACTGAATTGCATTTGTAGATTTACTTCCAAATAAGATGTAGTAGGTCTTTTCTATGTTAAGTGTTAGTTTGTTGGTTGACATCCATAAGTGGACTTTTTTTTAGTTCATTATTAACAACATTATTTAGTGTATGTGGGTTGGGGTTAGAGTAGATGAGGGTAGTATCATCAGCAAACAAAATAGGTTTCAGAATGTTAGAGACGTTAGGCAGATCATTGATGTAAATAAGAAATAAGAGAGGTCCCAAAATGCTGCCCTGTGGCACTCCAACGGTTATTGGTAGAGTGGGAGAGGTTATATTATTGATGGCTACATATTGGTGTTTATCACTAAGATAGGATTGGATATAGTCCAGTGTATGGCCTCGAATTCCATAATGATGGAGTTTACGTAAGAGGTAATTGTGATTAACAGTATCAAAGGCCTTTCTCAGTATTGGGTAGTCAAATAGTCAAAGGCCTTTCTCAGTATTCTCAATATGGGTATTGGGTGCATATTAAATAAACTAAATTAAAACTGATCAATTTGGAGGATGTTGATCCGGACTTCTTCAACAGGTCAGATGTAACACAAACAAGGAGCAACGGGTTCAAGCTCACCAAGCCACAATATAGGACTGAGAACAGGAGATGCTCTTTTAATTCCCACACAGGGTAATAAACCTGTGGAACAGCATACACGCCGGACCCATAAATGCCAAAATTCTCCTGAATTGTTAAATCCAGCTTGAAAAAATCATCAGGACAAATATGGGTGACCTTTGACAAGCCACCTGCTTCCTGCCCTTATCGAGGCCACTAGAGTGCTGTGGCCTTTAAGTAAATTCAGGTAGTTTCATGGTAATCTTAAAGTTTTAAACATGGTCTTCTGTCGCTTCTTCCTCTTAAATTTGTCTTTTTCTTCTTCTTTCTTATCTTTTATATATTTGTCATCATCTCCTCTTGCATAACACGTGAGTGTACCTGAGGGCCATTATAATTAGTGGAGCGGTAGGTGGTCGCTCGGGATGTTGCGGCTGTCATCATTATCTCATTTTATATTAAGGCAGCGTGTCTTCCCACCATCTTAATCATCTTAAATACCTGTTTTTTTTACAGATTCTCAATTAAAACATTGAAAAATTAAAAGAGGAACGGAGATATATATATATATAAAGTGCCGATATAGGCGTGCGGTAATGAGTGAAGGGTAGTGTTTGCGTAATAGTGATCCCGTTAAGCGGTGCCAAACATGCCACGTCCGCCTTGCTGCCTCCTGCTTCTTCTCTACCGCTGCCTCAGCCACAACACCCGCTGCTCTTCTGCTTTCTCACCCTTCTCGGTGCTGCTCGGAGCTATGGCGTGAGTGTGGGCTCCATATCAGATGTGAGGTGAGTGCCCTGGTGCTGGCATGGAGTGGGAAGCAGGGGAAATGATGCTCCCCGGCGAGGTCTTGTCAAGTCCACTTTGAAAAATTGTAAACACATATATTTTTTTTAATGCCCCTGGTTTACTATTATTCTTTAAAAGGTAGGATAGTTGTTGTTGTTGTCATAGGAGATGTGATGACACATGATACAGTGTTCCCTTGTCAGGGGAAAAAAAAGGCCTTAAGCACAGTGACTATGAATCTCCCTAAACATGGGAGGCTGTTCATGGAATGTGACGTGAACGTAAAATTAGGTGACAGTAAGTAGATTCAAATTATAATTTGTTTAAAAATATCCTTAGGAAACCCCAGGAAAGTAGTATGCCTTATCGTATACCTTATAGTAGTATACCTTATACGGCGCCTGACAGCTGGGTGGACAGCTCTTCGGATTCGTAGTCCTGAGCTCCCGGATTCGATCCCCAGTGGAGGTGGAGACAAATAGGCCAAATGTTTCTTTCACTTTGATGCCCTTGTTACCTAGCAGTAAATAGGTACCTGGGATTTAGACAACTGCTACAGGCTGCTTCTTGGGGGATGTGTAACAAAACAACCCGTTCTCGCAAATTCGTAAAGTCAATATTGACTTATTAACTACGTGCATAGGTGATATACTAAACATAATAGAAACCCCTAAAAAGATTCATAGAAAACACCGACCTTACCTAACCTTGTTAGTATCTTAAGATAAGCATCTTATTGCTTCGTAATTACAATTATTACTAAACCTATACTATTATAGGTTAGGTAATAATTGTAATTACGAAGCAATAAGATGCTTATCTTAAGATACTAACAAGGTTAGGTAAGGTCGGTGTTTTCTATGAATCTTTTTAAGGGTATCTATTATGTTAAGTATGTCACCTATGCACATATTTAATAAGTTAATATTGACTTATTAAATTTGCGAGAACGGGTTGAACAAAAAGGAGGCCTGGTCGAGGACCGGGCCGCAGGGACACTAATCCCCAAAATCATCTCAAGATAACCTCAAGATATTATTCATTAGATTGAATAATAATTTATCCAAATTAACCTGAGGTCCAGTGTCTCGAGTGGCCTCAGTCAAGACAGAAACTGGTGAATTGTCAAAGGTATCCCCACCACATTTGCCCTGCAACAGCTTTGGCAGATAGGTGGTTCCAGGGTTCATAGCCCTATGGGCAAAAAAGTATCTTCTGTTTTCTATCCTACATTATGGTTTGATAATAATAATAATCTATATAAATAAAAATGGAAATGTTCGTTTGTTCAAAATCGTTAATCTCCGAAAGTTCTTCACCGATTGCTTTGAAATTTTCACACAATGTTCCATTCACATCCGAGCAGGTTTTTATATACATACTACTGTATATTGATGTCACATCTGTGACGGAAAAAAAACATTTTTTTTTAAACTGTGTTTTTTATATGTTTTTCACGAGAGAAATCCTCGAAACCTCGTTACCGATTGCTTTGAAATTTTGACACGATGTTGCATTCGAATAGGCGCGTGTTTTTATATACCTACTAAATATGTGCCTTACCTGTGACAGGAAAAAACATGCCTTTTTTTTAAAAACAGCCCCATCTGTTGGACGTAAGAGCAACACACGCTGTTATCTCCCAAAGTTCTTCACCGATTGCTTTGAAATTCTGACACAACGTTTCATTCGAATATGTGCATGTTTTTATATACCTACTATATAGATGCCACACCTGTGACAGGTAAAAACATTTTTTTTTTTTCAAAAACAGCGCCATCTGTTGCATGTAATAGCAACACACATGCAATACTAAATATGTTACGAATTCCATTTCAACGTTTCCCATTGCATTGATAAATTTAATTTTCATAGATTTCGATTTATTTTAATTTTTATTGAATTATTTTGTGTGACATTGTGTTGAAATTGAGCTGTGTTGCTTACCATACCGTTCATTTTGTAAGTACAAGTATAGATGCCAAACCTGTGACGGTTAAAAACCTTTTTTTTTTTTTTTTTTTCAAAAAATAGCGTCATCTGTTGCACGTAAGAGCAACACATGCTATGCTATGTTATGATCCCATTTCAATGTTTTTGATTGCATTGACATTAAATTTTCATACATTTTGATTTAATTATTTTGTGTGTGACCTTGCGTTGGAACTGAGGTATATTGTTTACCATCCCGTTCATTTCGTGAGTATAAGTATAGATGCCACACCTGTGACAGGTAAAAACATGATATTTTTTTAAAACTGTGCCATCTGTTGCACATAAGAGCAACTCACGCTATACTAAATATGTTTCGTTTCCATTTCAATGTTTCCGATTTCAATGATAAATAGAATTTTCGTAGATTTTGAAATATTTAAATTTTTATTTAATTACAGTATTTTGTGTGACATTGTGTTGGAATTGAGCCTTGTTGTTTACCATACCGCTCATTTTGTGAGTATAGTTTATAGTAATGTATAGTATATACTATGTATAGTATAGTATACATTTTTTTTCATTTCGTTTTTTAATTGTTTTTCTTATTTCAGTGATGAGAACATCAGATCATTTGATGTTCCCAATTTTCTGATGGGAACATCAGATCATTTGGAATGCATCGTATGAGGGAGTGGGGAATGGTAGGGAGGACGAGGGGACAGAAGTGGGGGATGGTGGGGAGGACGAGGGGACAGGGGAATGGAGATTGGTGGAGGAGGACAAGGGAACAGGGAAGTGGGGGATGGTGGGGAGGATGAGGGGACGGGGGAGGTGGGAATGGTAAGGAGGACGAGGGGACGGGGGAGTGGCAGATGGTGGAGAGGACAAGGGGACGGTGGAGTGGGGAATGATTAGGAGGATGAGGGGACGGTGGAGTGGTGGATGGTGGGGATGACATAGGGATGGGGGAGGGGGGGGGAAATGGTGTGGAGGACATAGGGATGGGGGAGGGAGGAAATGGTTGGAAGGATGAGGGGACTGGGGGAGTGAGGAATGGTTGGGAAGACGAGGGGATAGGGGAGGGAGGGGGGAATGGTGGGGAGGACTGGGAGATGTGGGAGGGTTGCTGTTGCTCAGCAACGCACATGCGTTGCTGAGCCACAGCAATGCGCGGCTGGGTACAGCTATTGATTATAATAATAATGATACTTTATTTAGGTAAAAGTACATACAAAATGAGTTGCAAGCAGAACGTTGGATTTCTAGATGGAAGGAAGGAAACTATCAGGAGAAAGCGCCAAGCCATTTAGACTATGTAGCACTGGGAAGGGATCAGAATCAGGATATGGGATGGGACGGGTGGGAAGGAATGGCACCCAACCATTTGGATGGTCGGGGGATTGAACGCTGACCTGCATTACGTGAGACCGTCACGTCATGCAGGTACGACGCACAGCGTATTGGATAAGCTGATACGCACATTGTATCAGATAAGCTGATACGCACAGCATATCAGATAAGCTGATATGCACAGCATATCAGATGTGAGAAAAAAATCTAAAAATTAAGAATTAAAACATTGCATCCTCACTCTAACAAACCCCACTCTAACAAATTCCTGGATGATCCGAACAAATTGCATTCGGTACTAAATGTTCAGTGGAACATACAAATGTTTGATTAACACTTTCGTGTTATGGGCGAGCGAGCATTTCTCCTACCCTAATGGTTTTGGACGTTCCGCGTGAGCTTGCGGGAGTGTGCGGTAATACTGAAAAGTGTAGATTCTTTTCAACTTTGTCACCTTAATTCTCGTCCTAGGTTTTTCAATTTTGTATCAATGTGTTCGCAATAGAATGCTCTACAGAACTCAAAGCAAATAAACTCAAAAAGCCCTGCTTACCTCCTGCAGCAAACGGAGAAAGTGCGAGAAAGTTACCCAGGAGCGCACTAGAGCGATAAAATGTGTTCTTTCCTTCACTTTGGTCACCTCAATTTTCGTCCTAGGTCTTTCTATTTTGGTATCATTGTGTTTGCAATAAAATTCCCAACAGGAGTATATGCATATATTGTAAAAAACCGTGGTGGGCTTCACCCGCCGATGTGATGAAAGCAGGTGATGCGAGCAGGGAGGAGCGCTGGGCCGTCCATTAGAGAGCGCGGTAATACTGAGAAGTGTATATTCTTTTCAACTTTGTCACCTTAATTCTCATCCTAGGTTTTCCAATTTGATATCAATGTATTCGTAATAGAATTCTCTACACGATTAAATGCATGTGAAGTCCTAAAACCCGGCATACCACCCGCACAAAGCAGACAAAGTGAGTGTGTTACCTGGGAGCGCTAAAGAGCAATGAAATGTGTACACTTTTTTCACTTTGGTCACCTCAATTCTCGTCTTAGGTCTTTCATTTTTGTATCATTGTGTTCGCAATAGAATTCCCTACAGGTGTATATGTAAATATAAAGTCCAAAAGCCCGACGTACCACCCACAGCAAACAGAGAAAGTGACGGTGCGTTACCCTCGTGAGCGCTAATAAAGAGCAATAATGTGTGTTTACTCTTTTTAACTTTATTACCTCAATTCTCGTCCCAGGTCTTTTATTTTGGTATCAATGTGTTCGCAATGAAAATCCTTACAAGTGTATATGCATATACAGTGGCACCTCAACATACGATAGCCCCTACTTATGATAATTTCGAGTTACGATGTAAATTTCATAGAAAAATGCGACTCGACGTCCGATGGTGTCGTCGACTTCCGATATTTGTTGGTACACGTTCGGGTCGACCGAGCGCGTGGTTCCTGGTCACACGGCCGACCTGCCTCAGTTTACTACAGCTGCCCGCTTAGTGACGATCACGCCTATAAGAAATTCCGCTTTTGTGGTGATTTTTTGCATTTTGAACATAAAGTAATTATTATATATCACGCCATGAGTCCCAGGAAAGTCAGTGGTAAGGCTCAACATGTGAAAATCCATGTAAGGATGACCATAGAGCAGAAACAAGAGTACAGAACGTCTCTTCCTCAACAATTAAGAAAATGTGTGCAGCATGGGA